CCACGACCGTGGCACAGAGGAAAGCTTTTTGTGCAGGCAATCAAACCGCTTCACGGCTTAAAATCATCCAGGTCATTTCTGACGTTCATCTCCGGAGACTACACCGAGCACGAACGGGAGAAATAGACCCCTAGTTCACCTATCCCAACACATTCTCAAGAGATACTAGGCTCAACGTTGAAGAACGCTGGAGAGTAATGAGAAATAAGACCCCGTGGCAAGACAGTGCGGCAGTCAAGAGGGAGCTTCAGCATCGACGACGGCGACGACAGGGAAAACGTCACTTTTAAAATGAATTCGCGTTTTCTTCAAATTTTGTCAGGTCTTTTCCAAATAGGTGAAAATGTCAAATGTAGGCAAATGTCCCCGAGTTGGTTTCTTGGGGACCGCACTCAAGTTTAGAAAGAGAGAGAAAAATTGGTAGTCGCTCGTTTTATATACCTCCGCCGTTCACAAAACGTGAAATTAGGCATCTCACTGTAGTCGTGCAGTGCGGCAAAGGAATGTACAAACAAGTGTGATGCACCTGCAGAGTTGTTGTTTTGCTAATCTTAACTTATTACTTTTTGGACGTTTTCGTTGCCGTCACCGTCGTCGCTGCTAAAGATCCCTAGTCTTGACGACTGACGAAAGATGATGACGATGATGAGTCAACTGACCTAACGACAGACTGCGAACCGTCTCTCATTATTCTTCAAAGTTCGTGGTAGCCAATCTGATTCCCTGCGTGGTACTGACCCAACGCGCTAGTCCTGTGAGCAGTCTTACAAGCCACCCGATCTCGTTTGAACACTCTTTCCTTTCGACCTTTATAATTATGACACCAGTATAACCACTACAAATAAGAGAAAACCACCATAAACAACCATACTGTAATAATCCCAGTTTCCATTCTTAGGCTCCTTTATGCCCCAGTCCTTGTATTTGCGCGGTTCGCAATAGTCCAGCTTGAGCCCAAGGTGTAACTTTCCCTTGGCCAGCGCCATACAGACTTGGCAAAATAGCGGGTATCGAGGATTCCACCATCGACCAATGGTCGTGTTAGAAATGTCTCCTATTCCTTTCCATTTCCATTCTAAATATTTATTATAAGCAGTCTCGTTGTTGCTAAGGAAATTAAGGTAGTCCGCTAACTCCTTTGGGCTTTTGAAATCGCTTACTTTGATGATGGAGTTCTTGAGATTTCCTGGCAAAAATTGGTCTACTTTATCTGTACCCATATATACAGGCACCGAGCCTGTCGTAAGAGCATGGTAAAGCCTGTCATCTATGAAATAATCACAGTCTTGATTCATAAAAACCAGAGAGAACTTGTAATACCGCGACAGGATAAGCTTGTGGTCTTTAAAAACGTAACGATTGTCAATTTTCCCGTACAATCCTATCAAACCCTCTTTATTTTTCAGGCAAGCGCCGTACGAATCCACTTTAATGTAATTCATAAGCTGGCGCATGTACTCAGTTCTGACGGGTTCACATTTTGAAAAGATGGCTAAAACATTTCCCAGGCGTTTCTGGAAAGGAATTGGTGGACTGAGGCCCGGCATGGGATAAATGGGCGCTGGAAAATCCGAATCTAAACGATAGCTGATGAGCAAATTAAACTGCGACATGATCTTAGAATTGTACAGAGCGGGCGTGTAGACGGGATTTTCATTGGTTTGAAGAATCCAGGGCGCTAAATTTTCAATCGGAGGAAGATTATAGATATCCGGTGGTCTCGCGTGGACAACAAACGCACTCGCTTCGGCGGCGCGAGACTCGTCGTTGGATAACTCACATGGGACGGGACATTCCCCGGGTTTTCCCCCGTAGAAAAACGGCCAGAAATGCGTGTGATTAACGGGCGACTTTTGAACAGGCACTTTATGTCCTCTAACTCCTGACCAGTAAATAATGAGCCTTTTACGCTGAGGATAAGGAAAATCTTTTTCACTCCACTCGACGTAATTGTTCGCAGTTGTAGCTTTAACCGGTGATTGTTGTGTACCTGCTCGCAAAGGAACAGGTCTCCGAATTCGCGCTGTTTCGTCTTTGTAAAAGTGAACTACAAACAGCATGGTCCTTATAACAAGCAATGTAAAGCAGCCCAGTAGAAGTGACCTCCTCTTGGAAGTGGGTCGAAGCCAGATCATCATCTTTGCTTGTTCAAACGGTTTCTTTCCAGCCGCTATCCAACGTGATAAACTCGCTCTTACCCTTTTTCGCTGTGTTGTTCATGTGACGCAGGTGGAAGAAGTGGAGCGATTAACGGAGCATTTTTCAAACATTAGGTCATAGATCTGTGAAGCTTGGCAATTTGCTTTGGAATACTGATGGTGTGAAAATAGCACCAAAAAGTCGCCAATTACACCAATATATATTTTGAACAGCTGAAAACCAACTTTTGCATTTCGTTTAATAAGTTGCCTATAGTAGCCAGGTATTCAGAAAATCCTCCGAGAAAAAAAATAACAGCCAAAATCTCGGTGAATAACAACAGTATTGAACAGTTTCACAAAGAAGTGACAATGATGAACAGGCATAAAGATATGGAAAAGCGGCTGTTTTCGATGCATTTACACAGGTGCAACAAACAATGGCAAATCACAGTCACAGTCAGTTGGCATAACAAAACGTGAATACCACTGTTATCCTCTGCTACATTCCGCTGTGAAATAATGCAAACTATCCCTGTTCAACCAAATTAAGCTTTCTTTTCAAACAAAAGATGTAAATCCGTCAATCGGCCAAAGTCAATCCAAAATCTGATTTTAAGGCACCTCGAAGCGTTTCTGTAAAATGGGCCGGAAAAGCCATAAAACGTGGCAATGACATCATTCAGATAAACATTGAAAGCCGCAATAATGATCGAGATAGTCGGTGAAGTCCTCAAATTCAAAAAAAATTTCCTCTACTTGGTCCTAAGGGAAAAAGCCATCACAATATGGAAAGCGATGTTTTTTAAACGAAAAAGTCAAATTTGGCGAAGTTGGCAGGTTTTGATAACAAATTTCATTATCCACTTTGCCCACAAATAGTTTTCTGGTACCTGTGATACAGTGGTGACAGTTATGAAACCCGTTGCGAGATGCCATTGTTGTCATTCGTCTGCTTATCACGACAAAGTTCTTTTTTGTAATAAACGCTTACAGATATTCTCGCTTCTTTATTCAGCTTGCTTGAGTCCGGGGCTTGAGTCAAAAGCAACTAATTCTGATTGTCTAATCGCTTGACATATTGCATAGGCGTCGTGTGATACACAGTCAGTCTTTAAAAGCAATTTTACTGCCACGCCAGTAAAATGAAGTTAATGGAACGTGACGCTAGTTATCAGTAACCCATCCATGGCGGTTCTTTTTCAACAAAGCAATTGTGTAGTCAGGTTGTCAAGGTCAGCGAGCTCTAAGATGCATTGTATTCTAGCCTAGAACTTTATGGCCTTGTTGTCTTAACCAGGCTAGTGCGAGCCACAGCATTGGCCAATATTTTTTTTAAACTGCACTATTCATGGCTAAGAGTTTGCGTATGCAACGCTGAGCTGTCTTGTAGTACAGCCTTTTCTACTGGCTATGCCAGCAGACATTCGTCTAGCTATAAAAGCCTAGAACAACTGTTCAGAGTTCACTTGGGTACCAGTGTTCAGCAAGGTTTAAGCGCTCAGTATACTATTCTTGTAAAATTTTTCCCTCCCTCCCTCCCTTAACGAGTTTTGGGCTTTGTTTTGTGCTATGCCATCAAATAAACCAGGGACACTCCTCGCAGTGCGGTTAAGTCTGCGCAGCGACTTCCCCCAAGCTTGTTGGCCGCGTTGCCGTTTAATATCGCCTGCAAACCGATACTCTTGTCCGATCCAGGACGTGTTGTATTGCATTCAGCTCGTAGTGCTGGGGAGATAAGTGAGGTTCTTTGCTCACGCCATCGCCGGAAGTCGCACAGGCTAACCTAGCGCAAGGCAGTGCTCCCCCATTATCGCCAACTTGTCATTATTTGTTTCATAATTAAGTTTCTTCGCGTTTAACACGCATCATAAAGGAGCAGAGACATAAACGGCATTTTTTGAGGGTTAACACTTCTTCATATCTCGCATACTTCTTTTAGGGGGTTTTGCTACATTCGCATTGCCGATAACACACCTTGTTTGCCACCCCATCTCAAATTTTGCAAAACCGTTGTCTTCAATTTTCCTTACACGGCATTCATTTCTTCATTCAGCAATTCAAATATATGCTAGTTGTGCACGTGCATTTGAAACTTGAAAACAATGCCAGTGAATAATGAGGACGCTCACTTGTGAACACAAAATCTGGGGGGAAGGGGGGGACTGGTTATATTTGAGGCCCTATTTAAAGCCTTCCCTGTTTTCAATGTTCTTGAAACTTGCCGGGTATATCTATTGAGGATTGATCTCGGGATTGTCAAGTGTATAAAAAAATTATCGAGCGGTTTTTTGAATAATGCGAGATTTGTAGGCATGGACCAAATTACCTGCAAAAACTAGCTGTAACAAAAGCGGCTGAGTGCAGGTGAATTAAATTCTTCTAACTCGCCATCACCCAGAGCAATTCCCCTCTTTTTTTTTGCACGCAGTTTTCAATGGAATCAAACCACTATGAAATGAAGCCGCGTTTCCAAAACTTAGCATTTTCTTAAAATATTGGCTAATTGTGTAATAGCATGCCATTTCACTGTTTTTATGATTCTTAAAACTTTGTTTCAAAATATTTCCAAAACGCTTCATAGAATTTGTTCAAACTTTGCTATAATTGAGGCAATTATGGCAGGTACATACTCCCTTAAGTAATTTCTTAAAAAAAAAAAAACCTAGTACAGAGAAACACAAAGATAAATAAAAAACGTAATGGCGTCATTACGTTGCCATGGCGACCTTGATAGCAATAAAACTCAGATCATAAGAAATTTTCATCTTTATATAATACAGTTGTGGTAACCTTTTTCCCATATCTTTACTCACGCCGAAGTAATTAATGCTCAAACTTGGGAGGTTTCCCCCCTAAAAAATCCAGTCGAGCCACCTTCAGGTTAAACAATTAAGCAAATATTATCATTTGCTCTTTTTAAAATAAATATGAAAGATTTATTTCACAAATTTGGCAGTTTCTGGAAAAGAAATAAGCGCCATGTTTCGAATGAGCACCCTCTTGCAGTATACCATAACTAAATAAGCGCCCAAGGCCAGGTTGCAAGGTAAGAGGGCTCTTAACTCTTGTTCTGGAACAATAACCAATTGTTTTGAAATAATAGTTGCGAGATCCCTTAATCTTAAGATGTTTTTTGCAACCCGACCCAGGGCGCTAAATCGAACCAACAGAGTAGTCCGATTCGATTTTCTAAACGTATGTTTGAGATGAAGTAAAAATGGCTAAGTTGAGTTGAATTAACAATGAGTGTCGAATATGGAACAGTTCTACGCTAATTTTCTAGACGTTTATTTGGGTCTTATTTCCATCAAAGACTACCACCTGGCTCTCGACCGCGGCCGGGAAAGTAAACCTCCAGTTAAAACTGACAAGCCACAAGGTTTTATCGTTTCAAGAAAAATGAACTGTTGTTGAAGATAGAAAACCAAGTTTGTTGTGATATTGAACTTCCCCCGAGAGATCCTCTCACTTTATTTTTCCGACACTGTGTCTTGGACAAAGCTCCGTTTGCCGGAAACGAAATAAGCATTGTCGCATTGTCGTGAACACTTTTCTTGCGTAGCGACAGACACAGGAATCACTTCCACTGGTTCCTCAGTATTCTCACTTTAAAAACCTGTCAATAATTGCATAGCTAATTCCTCGTCGTCAGCTAAAGAACTCTGAGGGCCCAAATCCACAGCAACCTCCGAGATCCTGTCATTCTTTGCAAGGCGTTTCTTCTTCTTAGATCTAAGCAGGACAAAGAAAAATACCGGCTGCGAGTAAGAAAATCTGGCATGGAGAGTCGTCCAAATCGTTTTACGCACTTTAACTGCCACATTCTTTCGCATTTTCTTTCAGAGAACTATCTACAAATTACGTGAAAATGACAATGTATTCTTTTTGCCCAGATTTTATGGTTTTTGAATAAATCTGGGTTGTTTTCCATTTAACTTAATAGTCATCAAAGTGATTCGCTACAAATTTCCCCTTGTAATATCCATGCTTTTAATCGGTGAGTTAGTGAGAATGTGAAAATGAGCGAACATCATATAGAGGGTTATTTTAAGAAAAGAAGTGCTTTTTTAGGCTGGGCCTTATGCTTTCATGAAACCCAAAAAAATTTCCAAGGGTTTGTATGGAGTTTTCTAAGCATAACTGGGCTACGATCTCAGAGACAATTTGTCCCGAAATGCTCATTTTTGGCAAGTAGGCCTCTTGGACATTGTTCTTTCAGAATATCCTGACAAATCCCATAATTTCAGAAATTTCATTTTTATGACGTCACACTTTAGTACTCTATTGATACAACGGCTACCACGCAGTTTTCCCGCCAAAATGAACACTGGTTAACGCGCGCGTTACTTAGTCAAAAATTGAGAAATTCTCGTTTTCGTAGTCGTCCTCGTCTTAGAATCTACACGTCTCTACTTATTTGTTCAAAACGCGTGAACAGTCCGTCAACACACAAAACTTATCATACCTTGTGGGTTGCTGCTCTTCATCGGAGTTATCTACATCATCTTCATTTTCACTACCAGCAGCTAAACTGACACCAGGCAAACCCTAAATAAACATCACAAATGCTCAACGTGTTTTCGTTTACAGCTTCAAGAAAGAAAACATGAGAACACTGATTAATTACCTGTTCTTCACGGCGTCTTTTTTTCATTTTTCTTCGTTGTTCTTTATGTTTACTTTTGATCCGTTCTCTTTCTACCCCTCTGTCAATCAAATCTGCTTCACGCATTAAATCACGTGATTCTTCAACTGAGATGCCACCCACTTGAAGTTTGTTAATCTCTGCAAGGGGGACTGGCTCTAGTTCCTGATTGGATGGTTCAGGGTCACGTGCAAGAGGAACACCTTCAGTTTTCAATGGCTGAAAATGACGTGAACCTTTATTAGAATATAGCAAGAAAAACCCTCAAAATTCTTGACAATATCTATTCAACATGTTGGTCAGGAAGTTGTTTATCTTAGCATTCCCCGTACGGCAACTTCTCATAAAGCCTTGAATAAACGTACTGATTTTCAAACTATGGGCGGAATTTTATCGACCAAATATTCCAGTTTGAAATGCAGAATGATTCGCTCATCGCATGGAACATTTTATTTTGGTTACTTCAAAATTTTGTAAATACAAAGACAAACCTCGTCTGACATTGTAAAACGGCTGTTTACATAGAGGGAGGAGATGCTAGCACCAGGAAGATCCTAGAGGGCGGAACTTTTTGGTGGGTTTACGTGCAGACATTTCGGTCCGTGTTGTTACATAGTAGAAAGGAGTTAAAGATGGCTGGCGAACATGACAAAAAGGCAGTTTGGGCTCTTCTGCACTCTATGCTGGAGTGAATAACTACCTATAAGGAGAACTATCAAAATTATCAGCTCGTGGTAACGCCAAACGAAATGGTCGGCCTTTATTGTCGTGATTAGCCATCGAACGACCGGCTGCCATTTTTTCCCTAGTAGTAGGATCTTCCTAATGAAAGCAATTTACATGGTGCTAGAATATTCCCAGTGCTAGGATCTTCCTACCTCTCAGCTAGGAAGATTTTTGCACTAGGGACAAGTAAAACCCTTTTGCTGCATATAGACTGAATCCAGGAAACATATGGCGCTAGGATGATCCACCCTCTAGTCAATGCTGTGCTCCAAACCTGAAGGAAGGCCAGTGCTCTGAACTTGTGAAATCCGAGGCGCCCAGCATATGATTTGTATGAAAAAAGTAAGATTTTCTAGTAGCCCAAGAGCAAAAGTTAGGCGCCACAGGCCACCAGGCGTTGCCAGAGTACAGCCCTGCTGTGTATTGAAAGCCCCCTCGTTGAATGGTTCGCCTTTCGATAGTTCAGGAATCTCATCTGGGAAAATATAGGCTCGATTTCCGCCGTCTCCCGGGTCCGGCCTTTGATCCTCCCCGAAGAGAGGAGGATGAGTGGGGGCTCATTTTCCCGAACAGCGGCTGGTAATCGAGCCTAGGAAAATATGAAATTTCCAGAATTTTTTTCCATTGCACTAACACTTGAATGTGCCTTTTCTGCATTTAGGAAATATTGCACTTATATAATAGTTCCAAAAGGATGGTACAGGTGACATATAATCGGGCGCCTTTCCCTTTTTCCGTGCCTTTCAAACGCCTGCCACGCGAACGACGATGAAACGCTTGCTCCTGCACGCATTTACAGGCTTTCAGTCTGTAGGGACGGGTCATAACAAAAGATCCCTCTCTTTTTGGCGCGAGGTTTTCTTTTCGCTCCGCCCTACTAACAAAAGTAGCCAGTGTCAGGCTCTCAGATAGTATAGTGCGAACGTGTTAAAACGAGCAAAGCGAAAATAAGACGGGCACGGGTTTTTCGCATTTCTTATTACTGAACGACTTTCCACCACCATCTCGGAGCCTGGAACAGGCTATAACAAAAGCTGCTTGGGTCAGACTATTCATGACCCAGCCGATGTCGTCCAGTGTAAAAGGGGTCGTTTCCATTGACGTTTCAAGTAACAGATTAAAACACAAGAAAGGTGTTTATATAGTTGACTGGCAGACAGAATGTACTTTCCTTAGCTTTAGCCTTACCTCTCCTTCTTCATCAAACAATATCTTTGTGTTTAACTTCACATTTTTATTGAGCAGTTTCTTGGCTGCAGCAATTTTTGTCTTCTGTTTCTTAGTTTTCAATTCATTTTCTTCCGTCTTCTCCTGAAAAAAAAAAGTTGTGATTTGTCTTTAAAGCGTGGGAAGTCTCATGCTTGGATCACTTACCAATACTCACAGACGCAATGCAAAAATGGCTGCTGGAAAACTATTCTTTTGTTAGCCTAGCGCCATTTTTAACTATAAAATTAAAAAAAAAAATTACAAAAAGAATGCCTAAACTCAAGCGAGGCTAGTTATAATTCCAGAGATGAAGTTATATGTACACAAAAAATCAGGTTATGATTCCAGAGATGATGTTATTTGTACACAAAAAATAAGGTTATGATTCCAGAGATGATGATTTGGGTACACATAAAATCAGGCTATGAGATTCCAGAGATGAAGTTATGTGTACACATAAAATCAGGTTATGATTCCAGAGATGATGTTACCAGGTTATGATTCCAGAGGAATTATTTGCCATGATCTCAAGAGTGCCATCTCATCATTGCACGAATCAACACGTTTGATATTCCATAGCTTGAAGTTCTGTGTATCACAGCGGGAAATTAGCTTCTGTTAAGAGCTGTTAAAAGCTGAAGAATCAACTACGGCTCTAAGCATTAGGCGTAATACCTGGTTTGCAAGTGGATCTGGGTCAAAGTTAACATGGCGTTTCTTGAGAACCAGTAAATCATCTTGTTCATCATTATCCGTTTCTTTTTCTTCCTCTTCTGAAGTATTTCCCAGATCTCTCTCATCACCACTCTTCTCATCACCAGTCTCATCATCACTGTTATTTTCAAACAGCTGAGATGCATTTGTTTTGGTTGAGTCACTCGGAGATGTGTGATTAATCTTACCATATCTCTTCTCTGCTTTCTATATTAAGAAAAAAAGAATGGAATCAATCATTTTGAGCAGGGCTTGAAAAAATTCCCATCCAGTAATCCGGGACAAGTAGATTTTCTTGCTGGACAAGTAACTAATTTACAGCTTACTTGCCCAATGGGCAAGGATCCAGGTAAGTCATCCTCTACAAAAATTTTCAGCTAAGACAAGCAAGAAGTGGCCACAGGCAACAAAAATATGAGAGACGCTTGCCCAAAGGACGAGGTGGAATTCAAATTTGTTTTTAGCTCTAGTGCATGAGGATATGTGTGATACTAGGTCAGTGTTGTGTCAAATTGCGCTATGAGACTGTTTTGGGGGACAAATTCTGACACAGCTTCCTGCGCAACTTTGTAATAGCCAATAACAAAGTGACAGCATCTTCAAAACAGTCCCAAAGTGCAATGCGACACAACAGTTGCCCTCTTTATAATGGCCACTGTGGAGATTGTTTTTTGACTGTAAAACAAAGTTCAACAGAAGAGGTCTATTTGGAGGTAATGTTTTCAAAAATCCGGCTAGATTAAAAATAGTTCATTTGGTTTATCAACTTATTTGATAAAAGCACATTCAAGTTTTGAATTAATCCAGTCTACATGTAGATGACCAACTAACAAGAAAGAGAAGAGAAAGCTCTTGACATTAAAATCATTCTTGCTGAAATTTTTCCTAACAATAGTGTCGCCCAACCAACCTTTAAAAATCTAATTCGAGGTGGGTTTGGTAGTCCTAGAGACCTACAAAAAAACAAACAAACAAATAAGACATTGTGAAAGGTTTGAACCAAGGAGTCATTTCATAGGTAGGTTGACTATGATCATCCGGGTGAAAATAGTCCTGAATATGACTGTTGCTGTTTACAGTGACTGATGTTTTGACAACCTGTGTGTGATACAACTCACTTTGACTCTGAAGATGACTACCGCACAGGTTGTCGAAATGTCAGTCACTGTCAACAACAACAGTCCTATTCAGGACTACGTTCACCCGGAAAATCACATTCAACCTAAACAAGACATCACCATCGCATGTATCTGTCACAGTTGTCCTATAAGGGCAGTTGATGAGAAGCACTGCTACAGATTCCAGTTTACTTTTCTTCATTGTAACTTACTGTGCATATTCGTCTAGAGGCAACTTGTTGACATCAAATATCTTTTTGTTGGACTGCAGGAAGACAGATCTGGCATATGATACAATACTCTGTGGAGAAATCAAAAAGTTGATAAGGTCACACACTAGCCATGGGTATCTGACACATCCACACTGTAACCTGGGGACAGTCAAACCTGTAAATATAGGTTTGGCAAACCTAAGAGTTATTCAACAATGAGGTTGGTGGAAGAGTAAAATATCTATTCCATGATAGATTGACCTCAAAATGTTTTTAACTCTTCTTGTGCCAAAGTTTTACAGTAATTAAAGGACATCATTTCTGGGACTTTGCTTAGTGATCGCTTAATAGAAGGTGAACAATTAATAGAGGTTCACTTAATACAAGTTTGACTGTCTTTAGCATGAAAGGACCAGTGTACATTTGTATTTCTTGTCTACTGCAGGTGTACACAATTTCTTTCCTCTCTTCGTGCAAGAATTGAAAGTTGAAAATTCTAAAAACGTGACATTCAATATTGCAGTTCCCACAAAAGCCTAATTAAATTGCTATCAATTTGAGAACTATAAGTGCAGCGACAACTTTTGAAATGAGTGAATTGGGTTATCATTTTCATCCTTAAAACTGAGTTTCCTTTTGTCACATGTGATCAAGAAAATTATCATTTATCATGGCAACTCTCAGATTGATTTTGTGGTTTTATCTACCTTTTGAGCCCATTGTTTTATCTCCTGATCCTGGGCACAGAAGGCCTCAAGTTTCTTTTGAATTGAACCCAGTTTTTTGGGGTTAACTCTGCAATGTAACAGATTTTAATTATAACAAAGATAAAGAGATATCAAAACAACAACGCATTGTCACTGAACAAAACATGACTGCTTTTATCTAAGCCTTTAAGCAAGCTCTTCAGTTGGGAATCCATGAGTTGAAGGTCATGTAATGCAAAAGATTTAACCAGCAAGCAAGCTGGATTTTGAGTAGCCTATGAAATGAGCTATGCAAGTGAATGGCAAAGACGCATCTCCTTTCACCTGCGGCTTATGCATGACTTCTCACAATACCTGGTATCCCCCAAAATGAGAGCTTTCGCACAGGCTATGAAAGATTAGGCCTTAACCTTCCCTAGTGCCTCTTTTCACTGGCCACTTGTACACAACTCTTCACCTTTTGCAATTCTTAAATAGACAGTTTCCTTGCAGGCTACTTCAATCTGTCTGCAATCTTCCCTAATTTTCCATGTTTTCACTTTTATTGCCAGTATTTTCTTTTTTTTATGGAGATCAATGCTGGTGTTTCTAACACTCGTGCAATTCTCAATGCAGAACAAACAAACACTTGTTACAAAAGCTCTTGAGTTGGGAGTTACCTACAAACTACGATGTAAATTATTTTGTTACATTGTTGTGTCAAACAAGCGTTAGCATTGAAACAGATTGCCAGTGATTATAGATATGGCCTTGAATAAATATAGGCAAAATTCAGCAATCACAGATAACACCCAAAAATTGGGTTGCAATCAATTCCTTTTCTACTATGTTATCGTAAACTCGACATGACAATAAAGAAAAAAAATAGAGAAATTAAAAAAAAAAGCCAAAAATGCATATCTGAAAATTAAATAATATAGTACCATGATGCACTGTAGTACCTTATTTTGTTGATGGGTATTTTCTTTGCCTCTAATGCTTTGATCATTTCTGATTCCTCGGAAGGTAATAAAACCAACAGAGATTGTCCGTTCTTATGATACCTGATAATGACAGGACTGATGATGTCAATAAAGTCACAAGTGATACAGGATACAAAAGAGCAGTACTGGGGACAACAATTTTGTCAAATGGAAAAGGACTCTTTGGTCCGCCCGATCAAAATGACCAGACCAGTCAAAGTGGACCACCATCAAAGCTGGTCCCGAATATTCCAGTCAGACCAAACTGAAATGGTCTATTCCATTTGATGTACCAAGCAAAATTTCCAGAATTTTGGGTTGAATGGAAAGTGCCCTTCGTGTCAAATTTGCAACACTTGCAAACCATATCATCCGGAAGCTGGAAATGGTTTGGTATTAAGTATGAAGGGTTGAAGGGGCATAGTTAATGCAAAGATCAAAAAATGGAGAACACATCACTATAGCTATCCTTGGCCATGTTACCTTCCATATGATTTAATTCAACCCCTTTGTTGATCAAGTCAGCATTTGTCTGGAAGGTTATTCTCGGAGTCCGGGATTTGACCAAATATAGTGTGAGATTCGGGAGAACACAAAATTTCTTGATGGGATACAGGATTTGACTGCTACTAAGGAAGTGGGACTTGCCAAAATCTTGGCAGGTATTGGGAAAGAAAATGATATTTTGGGATAGAGATCTATTCATCTAGAACAGACATCTTTGATGCAGGATCTCGTGAAAAAAGATTGGGAATGAGGGATCAGAGCCCCCTTCTAGATCCTGTGTCAGAACTGCTAAATACCAAATCTACCACTCACCTTGCAGTTCGTCCCGCTCTGTGTATGTAGGTGTTACCATCTTCTGGACAGTCAAGTTGAATCACCCAATGAACAGCGGGAATATCTAAAGAACATTAATGAAGATTTTAACAAAATTAATTACAACACTTTTTTTTCAAACCTGTCATTTACAACATACATGTAAATAATCATAGAGGGACCAGCCCAGTCAAAATGTTTTGCAGTTGTAGGCAGAAATAAACAAGAGCTGCAGGCGGCAAAGCTTTGAACTTGTAGATTATTAATTGACCTTATTAACATCCCACTTAATTTAAAACAGCAAAATTGCTAGCTGACAGCGGCTAATGACTGGGATGAGGACAACCGTGGCAGGGATAGCTCTGTTACTACTGCAGAATGGCAGGTCAGGTTCGATTCCTAAGGTCAGACTAATACTGGGGGTCTTAAAGTAACTGAGAAGTGAAGGTTCCATTAATGAGCGCTTAAGTAGCCCTGCAAATAGGGGCACCCAACGAGAATATAGTTCAAAACCACTTAAACATAGCATTGTTAAACGTATTTTAGTATTTAAAAGGTAGATATAGGCATATTTTTATCCCCTAAAAATTTTTCATCTGTTCAAAGTCTAGTGATCCGAAAATTATAGTGATCAAAACTTACCTTTTCGAAAATTTCAGCCAGATAAAAGGCTCCCGAAAGTTCTAGGTGAACTTCTTAGAGTAAAAATTCGTTAAAAATGGGCAATTATATCAGTTTTTGGATGTTCGAAAATCCTAGGAGAGGCAGGTAAGCAAGAAATTTTAAAACAAATGTTCCGAAAATTCTAGATCTCAAATCATCTTCTGAACAGATATTTTCCGAAAATTGACGTTGGGTGCCCCTGTGCAAATGGCTAAACCTTCCTATGGCTCGGATGACCCTGTAAAAGGGTGGTCCCGTCTCCGACTCCAGTAGGAGAGGTAAAAAAATTGTGTCCCCAATAAAGAACTTTTGTGCTAAATACATTGAATATCAAATAAAGTGCTCTGGCTTTTTCAAGGATGTCGTGGTAACAAGCATTCTTGACTGGTGACTTGTATACAATGTACACATTACTTCATGCAGAATAAATGAGTAACTAAATCATGTACATGATTGTATGTCCAGTCTGTACCTTATTCCCACATGTAGTCTAGTAATTTTAGTAAAAACCTCACCAAGTCCTCTAGCTGCAATATCCGTGGCAAATAACACTGCTTCAGTTTTCTTACAGAAGTCATTGTATATTGCAACTCTCTTAAGCTGCTTCTGTTTTCCATAAAGGGCCATTAAAGGAATTCCAGGACGGAGGCGACGAAATGATTCATAGATAAATTTGACCTGATGATGAAGAAAGGTGTCATTAACGAAAGCCATGAGATCAATACAATGAAAGTCAAAATATTGCTCTAGTTGCTGAAAGCCCCAGAGCACTTCTTTACAGAACCCTGTTTAATGATAAGATGGCTTTGTTTAATGATAAGATGGCTACAGTGGGTTTAACTCTAAAAGCAAGATGGCTTCAATGAGTTACACCTTAAGGGAAATGCTACCTGCTGCTTCTACCAGGGTTTGCGCTGATTTTTGGATCCAAAAATCAAGACTTTTTCCAGACTTTTTTTCAAAAGAATAATTTTTTTTAAGACTCATGGTTATCAAATAGGCGATCAATAGAGACGTACATGTAAGAAAAGGCAGGAACAAGCTTTTTTCATGACGTGCTACAAAGGTACAGCTGTAGGGGTGAGATTGAATAGGATTTGACCAAAACGAAACAAATTTCACTTCTAAAGCGCTTGTTGTACTAAAATAAAATAAAAACTCCAGACTTTATCCCCATTTTCCAGACTTTTCCAAGTCTGAAAAGTTGCTGAGCAAATTGCAAGACTTTTTCAAGAATTCAAGACTGATCTGTATGAACCCTGTTCTACACATGCACAATAGACAAGCCAGAGGTACAACAAAACAGTCTCCTCTTAACCTCTCCACTTCCAGAGTGACTGATGGAGTCAGTATTTGTTGTAAAACTTTAAGATAGAATCCACCAGGAAATTGAGTAATTTCAGTTTTCAGTGGACAAAAACCTTGTACCAGAATAATTTAAACAGAATTGCTTTCATTTTTACATTTTTCAAGGGCTATACATGTAGATATAATTGGTTATCTGCAATAACACCAAAGACAATTTCTCGTGGGAGCCCGAGAAAATAAATGTCAGATTTCACAAGAATCGTGAAAACACAGGTAAAATTCAGAAAATTTCATGTGTAATATATCATTTTGTGAAATTTGACATTTATTTTCTGGTACAAGGTTTTGTTCACTGAAAATTAAAATTACTCAATTTCCTGATGGATTCCATCTTAAAGTCTGCACAAAACTCTGTGGTGTGAACATACAAATGAAACCTATCTTTCACGTTACGGGGTTCTAAAAAAGCCACGTAACCAAGACAAGTTGATTTTCTTGCTGGGCAAGTAACTAACTTTTCAAGCTTACTTGCCCAATGTGCAAGGGTCCAGGAAAACTATCCTCTTATAAGATCATAAACTGAGACAAGTACATGTAAGAAGTTTCTTCGGGCAAGTGAAGTATCAGACCTGCTTGCCCAAAGGACAAGCTGGAATTTGAAGTCTTTGGTCAAGCCCTGCGTTATTGGTCTTATCGGTCTGCGTTATCAGTCTTATTGGTCTTATTTTACAAAATAATTTAATTTGGGAATTTTCTTGAATTTTTACTTTGGCCATTATAGTTGGGAGTGAAACTCAGAGATCCCAACCCATGCGATTTGATGCGTTACCGCCCACTCTCATGATTTTTATCAGATTCTTCCGATGTATCATGAAATTCTGAAAACAAGGAAAAAAATTGCTTATCTTAAGTACTTTTTAGCAATCTGAGTGTAAAATGTTGCATATTACACTATCCCATTCTATAATGTGTCATGATCACCCAAGTGAATTCCAACCAATTAATGAACCTAATGCCTAGCATGAAATATTGTAAATTACAGTGCATATGATATTCACCTGTTTACAGCTTGACACGAATACAAGAATCTTGCTTTTTATGTGATTTCGGATAAAAGAAAAGAGGAAATCCAGTTTCTCTGGAAGTTCACAAACCACATAACTCTAAAAAGCAAAAAAAACAACATCACTTAAAAAGTGATATTATCTTAGTTGCAAAAAAGGAAACAAACACAAAAAACCTGACTTGGTCAAAGACTATACAAATGTAGGTAATAACCAAATGGAAGACAGCAAAGTGACGTGTCAAAATAATTATTTCATTACCTGGGTAAGTCCTTTTGGAGTACTTGTTCTGGAATTTTCATGGACAGCAACATATTCAGGATCCTTAGAATAAGAAAGAGTAAAATCATCAATGCTGTCACTATAATACATTTTACAGTCAAATATAGTGAACTCTCAGGGAAGGAACAGGTAGCCCCTTAATAAAGGGTGGCTGATTATTTTGATAGAGGTTCAACTTTATTCATTTTTATTTGAAGAATGTAATAATTTATTATGAGATAGCGAAAGTGGCTACCTCACTGTTCAAAATATTGTTTACTGTACTGTTAAGCTTTGACTTTCGACACATATTTTCTATCAAATTATTTACACATATAGTGTACAATTAACATACCTGTAAGCTCAGCCTTGCTAAATCTTGTACTGATCTAAAAAGAAATTTGAGAGATTTGAAGGGAAGAGAATTAATTAATCTCAGTTGTTGTTATGATGAGTATAGTTCCATGATGTCACCAAAAGTTCTTTAAAGACTCTGTATAGCACAGTCCTCATGACCATACAGTGAACATACAGGAAATACAGTCAGATCATGTGTCAAGTGATCACTAACATGAAGTTAAAACCATTGATGGAAAATTATCACCCTACAAAATTATTACCCAGTTAACTATAAGAACTTCCAGCTATAGGACTTTGATTGGAAAATCTAGGTGTTTTGGAAAAAAGTCACTGGTGGGCAGTGATTGCTAACAGGAGGTGATCGCACATGGAGGTTCAACAGTATTTAAAATCTGAACTTGCATGTGCCGTACCTTGTTTGAGTTGCTGAGTACAACATGGTCTGTCTGTCCTCTGGAAGATTTTCTATAATGGCATTTAAAGTGGCGGCAAAACCTAGATCTAGAATCCTGTCAGCCTCATCTAGCACTACAAAAAAAAATGACAGGGTGTATTATTATCTCTAAGAGAAACGGTACATTTTAGCTGAAATATTTCTCCATAATAATATTATGGCATATATTTTCCTGGTTAATAAAATCATTTTAAGGCATTTGTCTAATACACCTTGACTACAGGGCAAAGTATTGAGCAGGGCAGTTGTAGTAGTAGTGGTAGTGGTAATGGTAATGGTAGTGGTAGTGGTGGAAGTAGCAGTAGTAGTAGTGGTACTATTACAGCGTAGATGGTTTCTTTTCACGCATTCAAGTAGAACTTTTAAAAGGCAGAGAAGAAAATATTATTACCAAGAACTTGTAAAGAGTTGCAGGTGAAATCCGGTGTCTCATCCATGTGCTGAAGCAGCCTTCCAGGAGTACAAACCACAATGTTTGTTTTTCTAATCCTCTCCTGTTCATGTTTCAGATCCTGTACGAAGATAAGCCGATGTTATTAAATAAATAATGAAATACCTGTATTTACCCTTGGCAGTATTTATAGCACTAATGCTAGTGGGGCTGAGCAAATGCCTGAAAAAAATAAATCAAGTGAAACTAAACAGGGTTAAGAATACCAACTGGCCAGAGGCAAACCAGCTGGCTATTTACAAGCGTGGCCGAGGATTTGAACTCGGGACTATCAAGATCAAATCCAGCTAGTGGTCAGGGTGGGACTTAAAGTCTGGGTTTCCCAATTGCAAGTCCAGCTCTCTAACAGCTCGGTCATGCCGCCTCCACTCAGCACCAAACCAAACTAAGGTCAAACTATAATAATTATTATTATAATAAAATTGTTGAGCAATTTGACTTGCCTTGCCTCCAATAATTAGTCCTGCAGAGAGGTCATGTTTACAGCCAATCTTGCATAGTACTTCAAATGTTTGATATGCCTTCAAAAAAAGGTTTTAAAATAGTTTTAAAAAAACACAGAATTAAAATTATTCAGCTATTATTTATCTATTTTTTTTTTTAATAACAAATAACATAACTGCATTAGTTAATTTTGATAAAACAATAAGGCCCGGAACCTCAGACACCGAACTTTCATGAGCCGGACCTAATTCGAATTAAGGCCGACCAAAATTATTTAGACTGGCTGAATTGATTCAGACACTGATCTTAGCTGCCGCTGAACTAAGTTCAAAATGCGGAAAATGTTCATTTTGGTCAAACTGCTTACAAAATATGTTATAATTATTTATGCATTAGGTTCGGTACATGAAAAGTTTGCTGTCAGAATCAAAGCCACTCCAAAGTCGCCCCAAAGTCACTCCAAAGGCGAAATTCCTGGCCGAGCTAGGCTAAAAGAATGGCTGAGCCATTCCAAACTGAAACAGGCATTCCTAATTCAATGTATTAGGTTCAGCTCATGAAAAGTTTGGCATCTAAAGTTCAGTTTTGTATACAAAATTGTATTTCACTTGCATGGTTTTGTCTCACTCAGTAACTCAATTAAAAATTAGATGGTGGAAGAAAATAATGTTACATGTTATAAATAATATTATTCTATTAAAAATTATGAACAAGGTAAATCTAGAAGGAAATACTTTCAAAACAAAAAAGTATTAATCATTACAGCTCCTTACTAATTCACGTGTAGGAGAGATGATAAGAGCACCTAAACCATCAACTGATGTCCATCGTTGCCTCCACAGTGCTTCAATTACCTACCAAGAGTGATAAAATATTATTTTTCACTATTTTTCACTTATTTATTCTATAAATAAAATAATCAAGTATTTGTACATATTTATTTATTTATTTATTTCATTATTTTCTAAATTTCATTTTATGTCATACTAAAAAAAACAGGTAGATATTCTTTGATGATAAACTCTCTCAACTATCATGGCTGATAACGAAAGATATTATTTATCACACAAGTGTGAGAATAAAGATGTTGTTTATTTTTTCTCACAATGGTCATTGTTATTGATAGTGACATTTAGACTGAGAATAACTGGCCTTCAGCAGGTGATGGTAACATTTTGCTGTACAGGACTAAAACTAGCACTGTGGTTTCTAGTGATTGAGTGAGTCAATCACTAACAACCACAGAGCTACTAACACTGAAGCACTGCAGCACATGGTCTGACAACAAGGCCTGATGAAGGCCAGTAGTGGGTCATAGGTTGAAACGTTCAGATCAATAACAAAGGGGGGCCAAACGATAAACAAGCCCTACACTGTATCATTAATGATCTCTTACGGGAATAAGAAATGCCAGAGTTTTTCCTGAACCAGTCTTTGCTGCCCCCAGGACATCACAGCCTTTTAATGAAAGTGGGATTCCAGCCCTCTGGATATCAGTTGGAATCTGATATCCTGCACCTTGCAGACCTAATAAATTAAGAAAATAATAACTTAATGTTATTAAAGGACTCTGGGAACAAGGTTATAATGTTACAGTCTGTCAAGACCTGGTTCCCATACATTATGTATAACTAGAGCACATATCGTCAAAAAACTCATAAAGTTTGACTTAATAAACAAAACACACAGATGCCTTACATTGTATGCTTCCAAAACATACTACCACAGGCTAGAGTTTTATCAAAGGGTGTGATGTTGACATGTAAATTTTGGGTACTTAAGTCTTTTTATACCTAGTTTTTGTTTAAGTTTATGGTGAACTGCCTTCCTGCTTTTTACTTTACTGGCCTCTGGGTGACACTTTAATGCAACCTGCCGGATAGCAGAAAGATGATATGGGTTTTTCCTGATCAGCCAACAGTTTCTTTTTTTATGTTTGCTTTCTTGGTGGCCAGTTGCTCTCAATCTCTCAACAGTTTTGTAACTGAAATTTAATGTCTGTATCTATAAGGATATGATGTTCAGGGTTTGAGCTAGGATGTGATCACTGGGGGACAATTTGTCCCCTGGGCTAAAATTTTGGGGGACATTTTCATTTTTAAGGGGGACAGAAATTTGTACACCCTTCTGCTGATGCAAAGGGGTTTGTCTTCTTAGCAGGGCTTCTGAAAGGTCTCGGAAGAAAAAGTCAAATTTCGCGGGATTTTTAGGGACAAATTCGCAGAAAAATCGGCCGATTTTGCGGGAGTTTTCGGGGCAAACTTCACCGGAAAGCAATCGGTAAACAACGGCCGATTTTGTGGTTATTTTCAAGGCAAATTTCGCTAGAAATCGATCGGTTTTGCGCTGATCAGACCAGCCTTTTTAATGTTTTTCTAACAGATGTCATCATTTGCTCTTTCAACAACAGTACGTTCCAGAAATGAACCAATGGCAAAGCCTTTAACATCATGGCTAGTGCCCAGTTTTTCGCAACATAATCTGTTTGCAAGTTTCAGTGACGAAGTTCCAAGATAAATTTGCAAGTTTACGGCAAGTAAATAACCCCTATAGCTGAAATAAGTTTCAAATATGTTGTACAGGCATGTATTTGATAAGATTTCTACCGAATTTCGCGGTATTTTTCGTGTTTTTGCGAATTTCGCGGCTCCGCGACCGCGCGAAGAATCAGAAGCCATGTCTTAGATTTCCGACAAAAATAGCAGTAGAGCGTGACTGAAACGTAACTTTGGAATGAACTTTAAAGGTGCGATAAAATATACTTTCCACGTTCTGTTTCAGCTTGCAATTTCTGTACTGAAATAAATCTCTTCGTGTGTGCTTCCTTTCGAGTTTTTTCCCTAAATTTTGAAGGGGACAAATTGTCCCCTTGGCCGTTTTTTAAAGGGACAATTCCAATTGCAGTGCGGGATTGGCGCAATGGCGCGGCCTGGCTCAAACCCTGTGATGTTGCCAGTTTGTAAGCACATAAAACCAAGTACTACACCTTGAAGTGTTCTTTGTGAAAGAGGTAGATCAGAAAACTTTGACGGTGGAACAGAACAGTCAAGCTGAAAAAATGTAACAAAGCATAAATGAGTTAAGTTACAACATGATCAGGGTTTTCAATAAGATTTTAAGTAGGTAGGAAAGCTTTGGAGTAGGTGGAGGAGGAAAAAACTCGCAGCAAGGGTGCAAGTTTCTGGAAAAACTTTGAAATCTGGGCCTCTCAGAATACATTTCCAGCTTTTTGGAGTAAAAATTAGACTGTTTGAACAGAACACAGACATCATTAAATTTAGGCTTTTTTATTCAGTGACAGCACATGAATACTCTATTTAAACTAGGGTAATTTCCACAGAAAAGTAGGCGGCGAGTTCAGGTGAAACAGCTGGCGAATTTCTCTGGCCACCAACTCTTATTGAAAACCCTGATGACTGATCCTCAGTGTGTCCATGAGCTCATTAACAACTGTAAGAAAACTATTTTAACCGTCATCTTTAAAAAATACACAACATTATCATTTAAACCTATTAACAATAAGTGGGAGTGGGAAAGGTGCCTGGTCAAACTAAGGGAGCTGCAAGGGAGCCTGGAAGGTAACCTTGATAACCAAGTGGGAGGTAAGCACCAGGCATCTTCACACTGAGAACCTCAGTGGAGAAATGCGAAGATACCGGAAGGGAGAGCTTGCAGCAAAAACAGCTGAAGCTAGCGCATGCAAAGGGAACGTGAGCAAAAACACTGTAAAATTTCTAGAGCCCGGGCAAATGCCCAAAACCACCACATAAATGTAGACTGCCGCCCAGCAAAGGGCTGTCAAAAAGTTTTCAAGTAGCAGGTTGATAATGAATAGTAGGCGGCTTTGGAACTCGCACCAAAGGCACAAGTTTTTGAGGGCCGAGGCATCTAGGGACAGTTTGATATTTAGAGTATCAGAAATGGCATTTCCAGGGGTTTTCAAGAGGTATTTTCCACTGCGGATGCTATGTTGTTTCGTCAGAATACTCGCAAGACTGGGAACAAAGCTATCAAAATGTCCACAACATTGCATGGTTCAAAAGTTTCACAGATCTAAACCTGTTTAAATATGCCTTCAACGTCATTCAAAACTGGAACATGGATGCTTTACAATTTTATTCGATGGCGCTTATTTTGTGTTAGCAGTTATGGTAGAAGGAGTAGCCTGCAAATGGCAGACGTTTCTCCTCGCTCATCGCCTCTGAGGAACGTTTCGCGAGGAGGAAAGGAGATGAAAGCAGCTGGCTAAGGATGGCTAACTAGCTGGCGGTTTTGGCCGGCTACCAGCCCTTATTGACGATCCTGCAGCATTGTCTTGTGTTTAACCTCGCCTAAATTTCATTTAGCCACATTTAAAGTTATAAAAATGAGCGCATTTAAAAATGAGCGCATATGTACAGTGTTGTACAAGGCTATGGCTAGAAAATAATAATCTGTTTATTCTCTAGAAAACCTTCAAGTTAAAAAACCCGGTGAGTGATTTACAAAAGATTTAAAACTCGCCTGACATCATTTATAATCCCACTGAAGTGTGGACGAACGCTTATTTTCCACATTCTTCTTTTTATTCTTTTTTTTTTACTTTTCATGCACATTTTTTCATTTTAACTTGAGCACATGCATGAGTTAAAATGGTTTTTTAAAGCTTTTCGTTTGACGCTTTACAGCGCTTGCTTACAGTATAATCATAACTTACATCTCTACAACGAGCTTCTATCTCCTTTATTTCCACATCTTCCTTTTTCCATAGTTCTCGACGTCTTATCCTACGAGCTTTCTCCGATTTTTTCCACCTCAACTTCTTCTCGCTGCCGTCCGCCATGTTCCTTGGTAGCCAAGCTTGCCCCTCATGCTTGGTGACCGGGCAAGGACAATACAAGTCAGATGTTGGGTCAGATGACTGTCACACAGATTAGAGTCACTTTCTAATTTTGCTTATAAATAGGCAATTTTCAGTTTTTGTGAGGAAAGGCTGTAGTTAGCAACTTCTGTTAATTTCTATATCAAGATGGCTGTGTGTGGTGGAACAAGTGGTCTCAAACCAGCCACCGAGGCGGAGCAAAAGATTTGCGATGAGGTCTGTTTGAATCGCTTTGTGTGACGTTTAGTGGCACTTTAATTTTCACAGTAGAAACGGGGCCTCTTCTAGCAGAGAAAGAGTAGCTTCTTTGAGAAACAAGATTTGGAGGCCACATCTTTGACTGATTTGCCTCTAAATTTTCGTTGTTGCATTGTAAAGATGTGTTTGTGCTTGTTCCTGCCACAGGTGAAAAGTAAAGCAGAGGAAAAAGCGGGAACAAAATTCAGTCAGTTTGTAGCCAAGTCTTTTAAAACTCAGGTTGTAGCTGGAACAAATTACTTTATTAAGGTAAGCTCATCACTGGTCCATTTATTATAAATTGTCAATATGTTGCTTCAGAATTATTACGACACTGTCATCACAATTTTCGTATGGGTGTAATTGGGTTCGGAATGATGGCAGCTGGGCATATATAATATCCCTGAATATCCGTACCCCCCACGGTTGAGGACTTACCTTTTTTTCTTACCCCTGAAGATTAAGTAAAATTGTATTTCAGCCCTGGAGACTTCCATGAGATATGGGTTTGCCGCTTTAAAATTCGGGGGTACTCCTGAAGAATTTGGTAAAATTAAAGCTTTACCTCCCCAAAATTCCTTATTTTCTTACTCTACCCCTAAAGAAATCCTCAATTTTTTTAAAATGGCCCCTGAAGAATTCCATGGTTCCTCACCAGGGTGGGAGGGGGGTTGGATGGATGTTGAATGCAACAGCCTGATTGAATCACCAAGTAAAAGTGTTGGGGATGACTGTCACATTTTAAGGATGAAATTTGTTGGCAAAAAAATGATGAATAATGAGTTTCAATTTTTTTATGACTTTTTTAAAGTGTTCAGTGTAGCCTGAGTAACCAGCCGACACACTGTGACATCACTAACAGTTTCCCTGCAAAGTGACGTCTGACAAATGACTACAGAAATCCCATACTGTTGACTTACATTTATGACTACCAAGTTCTGGGTAGTGCTTCTCATTAGTTGGAAATTTGCTTCAGCCAATCAGAAACACTTGCCACATCTGGGTCTTGTTGTTTAGACAAGAACAGCAAGACCTGTTCTGTTTTCTCAGGCTATGAGGCACTCTACTTAGGATTATAAAAATGTAGCCCTTAACCTCTTTGGAAGTCACCAGGAGCTTATAACCTGGAGTGAGCGACCCCTACACTGAGCCTATGCAATGGCACTTACACAGAACAATTATTTTGTGCTTTGTTTAAGTTAGAGTAGTATCTTTTCCTGCAAAAATGGAAGACCTGCCCAAAAGTGTTTCCTTCTGTAGAATGACACAGGAAAAAGTAATGTGTAATCTGCATATTGACGTAACACCTCAAAGATACCCTTTTCTAATGCTGACTGCTTTGTAGTCTTATTGTATCCAAAAAATAATATACTGGCCTTCTATGAAATTACTGTGACAAGAATACATGAGCGATTCTGGCTGGCTCTGGGTTGTTATGCTCCTAATAATGATACTCTATAGCGAGATTACTCACTCTCCCCTTCCCCACCAGTTTCAAGGCCAAAATGTTATAAGTTTGGGTGTTTTTGCAACTTCTTTTAGTTGCATCACAGCTCCAAAGATATGATCACTTCCTTTCATAATCTAACCTGGTGATTCATAATAATATTCCAGGTTGACGTTGGCAATTCTTCATTTGTGCACTTGCGTGTCTATCAGACCCTGCCACATGCTGGATCTACCATTGAACTTACTGACATCAAGACTGGGTTAAAGGAAGATGACAACTTAGATTACTTCTAATCATTACTAAAGAAATCCAGTATTTGAAAATTAAAATGTTCATGAAATGGCACTACAAGTTTAAAATGTTTTGAATAATAGGATCTTTCTATCTATACTAAGGTCCAGTAAAATGTATAACCATGTATGGGTTTCAATCGAATTTTTAAATAAAATATTTCGATGTAATCTTGTTTTATCACTGTTACCATTAAGCAGAAGTGATCATGATATCACACATCAGCTTTTCAAACAGCATGGGGTATTTTATTTAGATGTATTTATTTATTTATATGCAATGTTCATACTGACAGGCAAGTCCCATTTAGCTATTAAATGCTTGATAATGGAAGCCTGTTAAACTAATGAATAAATTGACATACTCTTTACCAATTTACTAACATAAAATTATGACTGTATGAATGATTTAGATTCATTGAATGAATAACTAATTTATTAACATATGAATGAGCTATAAATTTTCTCATGTGATTGTTTAACTAGTTCATACATTCTCCTCCACTGCCTGTAAAAATGCAGCTTTAGTTCCTTCTTTATTGAAAGAGATGCGTCCTTGCTTAGGTAGAAGGGTAATTTATTGCATGTTCTGCCCCACTGTAGTGAAACGAAATTTAATGTTTAACAGTCATTGCAAGGGTCAAAGACAACATACATATTCCGGGTGTTGTAATCGTAGAAACTGTGCAAATATTAGAAATTTGCACGAGGAAATGGGCACCGGGTCATTATGCACTCAAAGATTAAGTGGTTTGAAACCTTTTTTGTGCGAGATACTGATAGTGGAGTGCAATCTATTTCATGCTGCAGAATTTGGACTATCAGTGGTACTGATGGTTATTTTCGTTGCTGGTGTAAACTTTTCAGAGCCCTCATCTTGCATTTGTTGAACACGCTATTACATATAGCCTAAGAACGGCAGACGTTTCTCCTGGCTCATCGCCGCTGAGGGATGTTTCACGAGGAGAAACGTCCTTCAGCGGCGATGAGCTAGGAGAAACGTCTGCCGTTCGCAGGCTATATTACATAGTAATATGTTGGTTGCATGCGGGAGCTGTATCAATTTTGTCAGTAGGGTGAGTGCAGTGGCTCCCAGACTCAACATCACATCCTCAATATGAGGTGGGTATGCCTGAATGGAGAGTCATCAGATGGACGCCAACTTCGCTGAGGAGACGTGCCAGACCTCCACACCAAATGAATACAAACATAGACAGGATAACAAGTGAACTACAAAACAAATGATCCGACAAATGAAAACATACGAGTTCGAAGACTCGACCAAGCCCTCCACAAGAGGACTCCGAGGAAAATTTCAAGCCAGAACTTCAATACCCAGGGGACGAGTTTAGAGTGAAGGTTGTTAGAGCCAGGACGTGGGAAACGACAGTGATGATGGTGACAGACAGGAACAAAAGCAGGAGGATGACAAGCAGGTAGAGGAAGGTTACTCTCACGGGCAGTTACATGGCAAAGCGATCCTACTTAAAGGAGGTGGTACCCGGGCCACGATAGATGTAGCCCGCGTGGCAGGCGTTCGAAAGGGAAGGGGAAGGGAATTAGGGCGCGAGACCACGCGCGCCCAAATTCCCCCTTCCCCCTACCCTTTTAACGCCTGCCACGCAGGCTACGATAGATGGAGTAATCCGACCAAAATCAATGTGGATGAGCTCCTTGTTGTTATCAGGCATAGTGAGTGCATTTGAATGAAAATGAACTGGAACAGGTTGCGCGAAGGTGCACTGCTCAGGTGGCACGTTAGCAGCAGGGAAAGAAGAAACAAGAGCCAAACCTGACTGATCAGAGGATAGGTTTAGGATCAGAGTCAGGAGGGTGCTCCTGGACTTGCTCAACCTGGTGCAACGCGGCCTCCTTACGCGGGGCAATGGAGTAGCAAACGCCAAAGATAGTCTCCTCATCACTGGAACACTCTTCATCATCTGCATCGAGGAATGGTCAAATTCCAATCCTTGTCCCCAGGGGAAACGTCCGTATCGGGACAAGCTAGGGTAATGGGGGACCAGCGTTGGAAACAAACCCAGCAGACAAGCGAACACCTGTAACCTCCCTAGAAGGGGAATCATGAGAGACCCCAGCTGAACAGCAGCTGGACGTCCGGCAGGGTTAGTCCAAGCAAAAAAGGCACTCGCGCCGGCCGCATATGCCCGTGTCTCTGGCAGCGACAGCAAAGACCATTCATCGGGGAATGGTTGGCACGGTAACAAGGCACACGAGAAATGGGACACTGCCGTGGCTGATAACGATACCAGATCCGGCAGTTGTGACCAGCAATCCAAAAAACCTTGAAAATCGGGACGAAAAGAGGCTCTGTCCGAGAGAAGGACACGAGAAAGCTCCAAGAAGAAAGAATCGTCCTAGAAGGAAGATCACGGATGCAGAGCAGATAGGAGCAGGCCTCAAAAGGAATGATGTGGAGGGTCTCCACATGGAAACGGATGCCACGGTTGACAGCAGTATCACAAGCAGCAGTAGAGTAAACAAAATGCTGACAACACGGTGCCATTATTCCTCTGTGCAATTCGATAGTCCAGAATTGCCATGTGCTGGCATCGTAGGACGCGATCCATTCAATCAAAATTCCAACCGGTCCGACCGGGAAAAGTGGCCCACCTCAAAAGGTGGACCCGTTTTTACGAAACTTTTCCGGTTGGACCAAACCGATCCATTGAGTTTTGGACCGAAATTTCCGGAAATTTTGGTTGAATGGATCGCGCCCCTATTGTCTAGCACTTTGGGGAGGAGATTATTGGAATTTCTTATCGCAGATTCCGATTTCGCGTTTGCCTTTGGGTTACCGGGGCGGCTTGTTAGGTGCTCAAATTCCCACATGCTGGCGAATTTCTTGAAAGCTTTGGATGACGTAGGGCATCCGTACCTCAGTGTAAAGTTGCTCTTTAGTTAGCCAGGGTGTTGTTTAATGGGGAAATTTTGTGTTGTTGAAGGAGAAGAGATCGACCCCGATTTTCTCCCATGAATTCGAGGGCGTCTCGACAAGGATGAGGGTTCCTGGTTGACTTGCTGCAAACTTCCTGCAGGTTTCACACCTTGCGATCATCTCTTTGATTTCAGAATTCAAATTCACACTGGCACGCCCTTTTCGTAAAAGCAGGATTCTTCTCCCATGTGAGACGAGTGAACTCCTTCTTTAATGTCCCATCGCAGCGCTTGCTGTACTACAACTATCTGACTCCTGATTATTAGACAGTCATGAACAGACAGTTCATCTCTCAGACCTACGGTAGCTCTGAGGTACAGACGCTACGCGGAGCGTCTTTTCTCTCAGTAGACAATCCTTGCAGTGTAAATGATGGATTTAAGGATTTGTAGCATCTCGTCTCGCGCCTGATCTCTTGCAAGTCGCAAATATAAGATTGGAAGAAAGCTGGCTATGATACCTGGTTCAAATTAAAACAAAATTGAATGCAAGACTGGCAATACGGCAAATGGTTTGTAAATTTATTTGAGGTCAATATTTCGGCTAACATTATTAGCCTTCCTCAGGGCCAGAGCTACACTAAAGGAGAATATTATAACGGCTCCTCAGATTTGAATTTAAATTTACATAAGAGGCTAATGATAAAATAAAAACGAGAACAATAGATGAGGCCTTCCAAGGGGGGTTCTGGTGTCGCTTTGTCGCTTGTTTTCGATGCAGGCCGTCGCCTGTTTCGTTGGGGAAAATGTCGCTCTCGTTTTTTCGCTAGAAAGGCAAATGTCGCTGTCGGTATTTCAATTTTTGCGATGCAGAACCGTTGAAAAATGTCCACAAATATTTACACTTACTTGATTAACCTTGATTAAAACTGCTGCACTGATAGCTAATTGTGATACTGAGTGCCGATATTGTAACTATTCTTCCATACAGATGTCACAGATGCGCTTCACGGAGTCTGGTTGTTTACCATTTACCCAAAAATTCCGGAAATTTCGGTCAGAATGTAAATGGTAAGACAATGGACAACTTTGGCTCGACCAACCGGAAAATTTCCGAAATAAACGGAACGTCTTGAATGTAATTTACAAGGACAGAATACCAGAACCAAAAATCCAAGTAAACCACTTAACACGGTGCGCGACATAAAACGAACTCGACGAGAAGTGAAGGAAGTAACATGAACAGATTTATTGAACCAGAGATCAATGTTCCTAGCACAGAGGTCACAACTTGATACAGAGGAATCGACGGGGTCGATTGACAAGACAAAAGGTCCTTAAGTTGTGAAATCGGTACAAGTCGTACAAAGTCGGTTCGAACTGAAAACGATAAAATCGAACGAAAACTTAGCTAAGAATACATAGAGTGCAAATATATCTGACTAAAACCGATGATACCAAATAGCGAACGAGAACTAAATAACACTAGAAAATACATTAAATCAGCCTATAAAGTTATTAAAGTAATACGGCGATAAAACTGCTGGTATCAATCACTCAGCATACTCATGTTGAAGAGTAGCGCATAAGAACCCTTAAAACCACTGTAGCTCAGTGATGACAAGACTAAATAGATTCCTCACATAAACAGAAAAGATTACAACAACGATGTTGCAAGTCGATAACCAAAACTAAGCTCTATTATTCCTATAATGACATCGATGCTGAAAAAACTAAAAAGAAAAGGAAAACTATACTCACTTTGGTTTACACACACACCGGTGTTATCTTGAATCAAAAGCTAAGCTGAACTTGATAGTTGATGAGCCCGAGTGTAGATAGAAATGAAGCCCCAATGGCTGACAGAAGTTAACACCATGAAGTCTACACTAGAACTGAACTAACTAAGATGAAAACGCTAAATTTGTAATAAAGAAAACGTGCTTGAAAACGATCTAGAAATTATTACGTATTTCCCAGGCGGACATAACAAAAAAGGGCTGGGAAAGTAGCCGTGGGCTTATCAATAAAAATCATCATTTATGTAGGCGATAATCGATTTACAATAACTACCGTAAGCACGTTCATGCACCAATAAGGGATAACGAAAAGAAATCACGTTTCAAAACCAACATTCCGGCCCCTTAAAGGCTGAACTAGGGGAAAGCCTTTATAATGAACTATAACAAGAAGGGTTTGAAACGCGGTAATAGGTATAAAAAACTAATACTAAGCATGCTTTACTAATTAAACGTTAAAATGTCCATACTAATGATAAAAATGTCATAGC